TTTTTTAGCAACTGCATGGCCTGATGGGATGGTTTAGCTCACCGGACTGTCTGAAAACTGGTGGTGTGTGATCTTTCTTGATTCATTGAAGGGCTGCACAAATCCTGGCTTTTGTGTAATGTAGAGGAAGGTAAGGACAGCCTCTTTCTACTGCCCTGCAGTCACAGGGTGACTTAAACCAACCATGCAAACACATCTTGGAAAAGCTGTCATTCATGTGCCCAAGCCTATCCAGAAAGTCCAGCAKGGTAAAGGGCTTGAGCCCAGTTTCTGGGTGAGCAACCCATGACCTGTAGCCCTTTCTGGGTTCTCCACTGACTGAAATCCCCCCATTTYATGTCAGGACTGTGATGCCACATACTTCTGCCAGTGCCTTGCCCACTTCTGGACCATTTCTTTGTGTTTAATCCTCTCTGGATTCACGGGGCAGATTGATTGCCCCAAAATGCATCATCACATGCCACTTAGCAGCACCACGCTACCAACATCATTGCTGGTAAAAATCCRCCGGCTCTGATGTTCCACGCTCCCATCAAAAGAGGCTCTGGGAGGGAGAAGCCGTGTGTTTCCTTTAACCTACAAYAAAGCAAAGCAGTTCAAAGAGCCGGGAAAGGAGGTTAACAATCTCTTTGAAATGTAGGTTCAAATTCCCAGCACGGCCCCAGTCAATTATCAGCAAGTGCCGCGACACATCTACCGCTAACGAGGAAGAGGAGGGAGGGGAGCGTGYGGCGCGGAGGTCCAGACAGGCAGCAGCGGGGGTTAAAGAACATCGCCGCGGTGGTGGGAAAGCTACCAGGATTTTTTTTCAGGCTGATTAACCCTTCAGTGGAGCACCTAGAGTAGAGGCTGGACTGCTGGGATGGGTGGAGCTGGGCAGGGTAGCAGCACATTCCCCTGCCCAAACCCCGTGGCAGCTGGCTGGGCTTTTCCGAGGGATGCACAGCGCCTGGCACAGCGGGCTGTGCTTTCTCCAGGGTGTTCCTCTGTGGCAGCACGAAGCACTTTTATTTTAATCCCATTAATGCCAGGCGGTGAGTGCAGGGGTGGGGATGGGGAAGGAGGGGGTGGGTTTGTTTTGGCGCTGAGGATGGGTGCACACAGGCATACAAATGCTAGGAGACAAAGGCTGTGATTAAGGGCCGGTACTCCAACTCCCTGCTTATTACAGGAAAGGATTTATCTGATGGCCTAGTTTCAGCTCCAATTTTCCACCTTTTAATCAAGTTCCCAGGTCTGCTTGCCCACTCAAAAAAGGGAAGGAAGAGGAAATCTCAGGGTGATGAAGCAGGAATAATACTCTATAAACATGCATGGGTCAGAGGGTTTTGCTGCCCCAAAACTTTCCTAGGGGGCAGACGCCAGGGCAGGCAGAAGGATTATGCCCARCCATGCAGCATTATTTTCTGGCATGGCAAGAGTGCATCCGTKCTTTCCCGCCTGACCAAGCCAGGGTTGTGTGAAACAAACGTGCTGGAAATAAAAACCTTCTGCAAAATGGAAAATGTACAGAGGAGCAGCTATTTTTAAAAGGGACAGCACCTACTGCTGTTGTGAAGTCAGTCACATAATCATTCAGCAAGGGACTTCTGTGGGCTGACAGCTGACAGCCAGGAGAAACGGCTCCAGCAGACTGATGATAAGAAAATGAGAGTTTTTGGGTATGGAGAGGTGCATGTTTTCTAATAAAGAGAAGAATTTCTGTTCTGCGCTGCCCTGGCACAAGGCAGATGGGGGGAAGTGACCCACACTGTCTTTCCCTACATGCTGGAAAGGAGGGGTGAGATGCTGATAACTCTCCAGCAGGCTGAACGTGGCAAGAAATGCCAGCTCAGTCACTCCTTCCCCCTCCCTAAGCCAGCCTAGCCTTATTGCCGAGCCTCTGCTGAGGTTTTTCCTGCTTCTAAAAATGTCGAGTCTCTAATTAAAACGCCCATCTTGCTTGCTAGGGCAAACATATCCGGCCACAAAGCTGAGCTGGTTCTGGAGACAGCCAAAGCTTGCAGCTAACCAGCCTGGCTGGCTTTCCTGGCATGGCTGACACCAGGTGTCCGTCACACCGCGTTATCAAGCTGACAGGAAGCTTGAATGAGGGTCTCCTTGACTTATCCAAGTCTGTCCCATGCCCTTGCTCCTCCATGGATACATCAGTGCTGTTCCAGGTGTTTGTGCCCCGTTGGTGGAGAGGGGCAATGTGGGGGCTCATGTTCCTGGTAGAGGCTTCTTCCCATGCAGAGGACTTTGGAAAGGCTATTTAAATAAGATATAATAATCAAAACAATATTTTAATTAACAACAGTTGAAATAAAAAACATCAAGTCATTAGTTGGATAATGAATAAAAAACAGTAGCAAAATAAGATGTTAAGGCAAGGGGGCAAAGAAATACTGGGAGGGACAAAGTCTAACACAGTGCTGGAGCATCACATATGTGAGGCATTCACAAGGAACTGGGAGAACACAGATTCAGACCCATGGGTCCCAGGACAGTGTCCTTCCCCAGGAGAGGAGGACATTCTGTACTGCTTTGATTGAGCTCACACCTCAGGGCAGAAGGGATTCCATCCCGAAGGAGTGTGGTGGTGTAGCCTCATGGTCACAGCCACRCCAGAGGAGCACTCATCTCCAGTGGTTGGTGGTGGCTTTCCCCCTACAGCCCATAATAATTTGTGAGCAAGATTTAGCCTTCTCTGGTAATCTCACACCCCAGGCTATCCTCTGACTACCTTGTTTGCCATCCTGAAGGACGGGGCAGTTTGGGGAACAGATAAAGAACAGATAAAGAACAGCTGTTCCTTCAGGCCTGGGAGGAGCAGCATCACTGCAGCTTCCCAGAGGCAGTTTCCTCAGTGGGTCTCTGACTGCACCGCTTTTRTACACAGCACCAAGAAGTGATTAAAATTAAATTTGCTGTTTAAGAGCAGAAAGACCCCTCTGGAGAGGTTTCTATTTATTCTTCAGATGCAGTGGCTCTGCATGTCTTAGCCTTCCATGCAGTAGTCCCAACTCCTCAGAGGATGGTGCTGGGACTGGATTACAYGTGTCTCACTCCCAAAAGCTCTGCAGTCTGGCAGTATTCAGCCTCCTTTGCTGTGGCATCGCCTTCCATCCCCACAGAATCATAGAATCTTTAGGGATGRAAAAGACCTCTAAAATCATCAAGTTGAACCCTTAATCCCACACTGCCAAGTCCACCCTTGAGCTGTGCTCCTAAGCACAACATCTACATCTTTTTGAGCACTTCCAGAGATTTGTGGTCTCTCCCTTATCATCCTCCCTATTGCAAATCTAATCTTTCAGCGCTAGCAGACTGTGTCCCAGATTGGTCAAATCCATGGAGAGATCTCCACAAGCTTTGGAGCAGGTCCTGGAGCAGCGAATTTGCATCACATGCTTTGTGCTGCTTCACTGAATTTCCAGTCAACCAGCAAAGCTCTCATGCCTTTTTGCCACTGAAGACTCAGTGAGCCAAGCACCATGGGACGAATCCTGCCCCCAGTTTGGAGATGTGACACCCATGAGGGCAGGGGAGGTCAGCAGAGCAAGGAGAAAAGCTGTGTCGCATTTCAGACCCAGCAACAGCTGCCACCCGCTCAGCACTACGACAATAAACCTGGGGGATCTGGGTTTATTCTCCTCCAAATCACTTTATTATGCTGTGAGTAATCACAAAGCCTTACAATGCTGCGGAGGTTCTTWAAAAAACCAAACTAACACAGTATTTGCCAGCTTTTGCTAAGACTAGTTTAGCTAGCAGCTAGCGTGAGATTACACAAGGAAATCTTGCAGTCTTCAACTGGATTGTCACATTGGGTTTTGAATTTACCACAGTGCTGCAAAGATGGCGAATTTGACAGCAGGTGATAACCCTAATGTTTCATCAATGTACAGACTTAAAAAATGAAACAACCTTCTTTTTTTAAAAAAAAAAAAAGAAATAGATTTTCTGCCAGCAGAAAATAATTCTCTTAAAAAGGCAAGTCCACTAAAACCCCCACATCTCTCCTCACAAATTGCCTGTGTCTTGCAGAGCAGTTTGTTCCTGTTCCCCTTTAGATCTCTGCCCGTAGGCAGCCCCCTTGCCTTTTTAAGAAAATCAACATGTTTCCTGTGATTGTAAAGGCTGGTCAAATATTGCAAAGGTTCACTTGAGGGAAAAAAGCCCAAAAACTGAAGGAAGGGGTAAAAATCCCACCCTAAGGAACCCAAACAAATGATTGAAATGGAGATAGATGAGAATGTGGCAGTATTTTGGTACCAAATTTCACTTTCCAAAGTTAGGTGTTGACTCTGAGTTTTATGGAGTCACTGGGTTTGGGCAACAGGGCTTCCACTTTCAAAGATTTTTTGGGGTTTTTGGGGGTAAGGACAAAACCTGAGCTTGTCCCAACACTCCTAAGGACAGTTGTGAGATGGGCTGATATCTGCATCGCCTTCACAGGGATCTCTCTGAATCAAACACTGGAGGTRGCCCTGATGCAGGGCTGGGTTTAGAGAGCAAAGAACAGATCAGCTCCAGCAGGACCCCCATCCACAACAGCCCATCCCCCTGGACCGAGTGTGCCAGATGTGGACCAGACCTCTGCAGACACCTCCATTGCTCCTGTGAGCAAGCTGAGGGCTTCACACATGGAGCTGAGTCACTCTGTGCTGCCTTCTCCCACTTCCTCCTAGAAACRGAGAAAAAGGAGGGTCCAGAGGGCTTCCCCTTTTCTTTAACAGCCTTTCAGTMATGGAGGAAAAAAAACGAGTAAACCTTTGAGGATCAGATTTTTATCAGATTTCAGTTGGCAACCAAGGAGCAATGTGAGAGAAAGAAAAGCCACAACTCTGGAAAAAGCCCCAAAGATCTTTTCTCCGATAAGCAAAGTGCTCCAGGCCTACAGGCATCAGTGCTAATTCTTCCCTTGGCACATTCTCAAGAGTGTTTTGGCACTGGAAGTTGCCTCACACATGCCCAGATGAGTCGCAGATGTTGCGTTCAGATGGGGAAYGTCAGCCTGGAAACAACCTCCTCTCATATCCTCTAGGTCTGCATCTTGGTTTGATAAGGTCATCAAGAAAGAATCCCTGCCAACGTTTCCTTCCAAACTTCCCCAGAAAGGGAGGAGAGATTCTTTTCCTTTTTTTTTTATTTTTTTCTTTTCCTGAGCTACGCCATGTGATCTCTTCCGTTTGCAATCTCCATCATTGAGAGCTAATTCCTGGATGAGATGAGGCTGTTGGCAGACCCCTCTGCTTTCATTCCTCTGCTACACATTGTCTCTGATGGCTYACTGAGGTTAGAAAGACAGGAGGTTGCCAAAACTGGACCCAAATTAATTAGACAAGAAAAGGATCAAGATGGGAAAACAAGGAGAAACTGGTGGGAAATTTTCTTGACTTACTCAGTGTTGATTGCACCGATGCAAATAAGATGTAAAACCCAGCACCTTAGGAGCACCCTGTGTTCAGGTTTGTCTGGAAATGCTTCTTCAAGACAGAAAGTGCAAGACAGAGAACAGGGTGCTGCTAATGAAGGCAGCATCCAGAAGGCACATTTTGGGAAGGAGTAATTAAAAGAAGGATGATACACTGGTTTGGGAGCAAGCAGCTACAGAGTTGGTACATTTTGATGTGTTCTCTGGAGAGGTGTAGCTTTGCTCCTACAAACTTGTCTGATGCATGAGGGGWTTGCTCCAGACTGACTGTTCTGCCCTGGGACCTGCAGAGCAACTTGTCCCCCTGTCACCCAGCGTCACTGCTCTTGAGCCAACGGGATGAGTGAGGACCTCAATGCACTGGATAAAATCTGGAGCCTGCAGAGAACGCGGGCCAAGATTTGAGAGTTTATAAAATCCACAAACAATCAACTATTGGCAAATACAAATATATAAATTATTGACAGTTTTACRAAAGGCACACTGCAAGCCATCTCAGTCCGACACCTGTACAAATCCCATGGCCCCCCACCTCCCTGCCCCACCCCTTTGTCTTCTCAGCTTTCATCACGAAACATAAGGTGCTGCTGCTACGGACCCATGGCTGTCATGGCAGCTGAGGACTTCTTTTTTGGTCAGCCCAATTTGTCGGTGGTACTGTCCTTCTCTGATGGTCTTAAGACACTGTATGTCCTTCCCTAGGGTGATGCTTTTGATGGAAGGCAGGTATTTCAGCACAGTCTTTGGCAAGGACGACACACCTGTCCCAGAGAGGTTGAGCTCTTGTAGGGAGTTCAGACCGAAGGTAACTTCAGCAGTCAGTGATTTCAGGCTGGGATTGTTGGATAAATCCAGAACCTGGAGGGCTTGGAGTCCCTTGAAGCTGTGAGGAGATAACTCTCTAAAGCCACGCAGGCCACTGAGGGATAAATGGATCAAGTCTTTCAGCCCCATGAAGTCTCCTTTCTCAATCTTAACCAGAGGATTCCCATCAAGATTTAAATATCGGAGAGGGATGCCWTGAAGGTTTGGTACAAACCTTAGCCTGTTTCCAGAGAGATTTAAGTTCTGGATGTTGGGGATTCCCTTTTCACGGTGCCTTGTAATTGTGCTGAGCATATTGTTAGATAGATCCACGTTCAGGGATTTGCCTTGACCTTTTGAAGCAAAAACSTCCATAGAAATATCCAAAAGCTTGTTATTGCTCAAATCTATGTCACTTAGGGGAGAACTGGAGAAACAGTCCTCCGGAAGGACTTCCAGAGAGTTATGACTCAGATCCAAAGACTCCAGGTACCGAAGCCTGGAGAATGTTGTGGAGGAAATCTTGGCAATTTTGTTGTAGCTCAGATCGAGACTCACCAGGGTGGTGTATCCMGGGCCAGTAAGCATCGACTCATTTATTGATTCCAGTTTGTTTGAGGATAGATCCAAGTAGGAGGTGTCCAGAGGGATTGGGACGGGAACAATGTGTGAGCCTATTCCACTGCAGTCCACCTTGGTCAAGCTAAAGCTGTCAAAGAGACCAAAGGTTTCCACTTCGCAGTGGCAGCCAGGGAAGCAGGTTTTGGTGGTGTCAAAACAAGGAAGGAGAAGCAGCAAATTGAACCAGGCCAGGAAATGCATTGTTCACCTGGAAAACAAGACAGCGGAAAACCAGATTTAATTGCTGTAGAAATTACTTTGTGAAGGATGTGTAACTTTTTGATTTATGCAGTCTTGTCCTTTCTCTTTACAAAGGAGARGTTTGTAACTTAAGGTATTTAAGCGTACCCTTAAATAGCGTGGGTATCCCAAAGACTTTGTCTCTCGTGTTATGAATCCCCGTGGGAGCTTAGTGGAAAAAATAAATTGGGTCAGCAGTCTTTACAGATATAACCACGTTAAGACAGAACTAGATCTGAGCTGAGAGTAGGGCTGCCTTCAGTCCATCAAAAATTAATGCTTTTGACTGGACCACAGAAGAAGCTAAATGACAGCTCAAACCCTGAGTCATTTTACAACCTGGCAAACCTCAGCACACAGAGGTCCTTCATGTCAAAGCATCCTTGTGAGATCTCTGACTTCCAGAACCTGCAGTGAGAGGTTGGAGAAATCACTGAGGTTGTGAGAGCTTTGCGTGTCCAAAGGCCTTACTGGGAGAGGAGAAAACAAAATTCCATTCGAGTTTCCAGCAGGCAACAGCATCCGCAAAACAACATCCAGGATGAACAGCTAAAAAGGCCAGCTCCTTACTGCCCAAATGGACATCACTTCTGCCTTGTTCAGACTTMAGTCACAAATTTAGAGGTTTTTAGGTAGGTAAAAGCGTGGCTTTGTATCAAATGGCTAAAAGCAACCCTTTCTGGCCTGGTGGSAGCTCCTACCAGAGCAAAGAAACCAAGAGTTGCTCAGTCTACCCCAGCCTTTGCTGTGGTGGGCCCAGCCTCCTGTAAGTGGAGAGAGATAATTTCCTTCATATGGTCTCTTTGCTAATGACATTAAGCATTCTCTCTAATTGACAATGCTAGCAAGCAAGGAGTTCTCTGCACCCCTTTGGTTTTGACCCTTCTCCATCTAAGACATTTCTGTCYCTCCATCATCTCACACAAGAGAGGCAGAGAGCTGATCTGCACCCCCCAGCTCTGCTGGACAGCTTCAGATCACATCCCAGCAATTCATCYACAYCACTGTGGGCAACAGCAGCTGTGTGATTTCAAGAGACAGACAAAAGAAGCTTTAGCTCTGCATCTCTGGAGAGGTTCAATCGGAGCATGACAGCATCCTGCAGGTCAGCAGAGGCAGCAAGGACTGCCTTCACAGTCCTTGGGTGATGCSTCCTCATGCCTTATAAACAAATTCTCCAGAAGGCCAGAAACAAAAAAWCTCACCAAGCCAGACAAGCAGATCCATCAGCACTAGTGCTTGGCTACACTGCTATCCATAAACAGACACTCACGTGACACTCACTGCTCATTTAACAAGAAAAAAGTAAATGAAATCCCCTTTAAATGAATCTTCCCACCTCACCCTCCCTGCTCACTGTTCTTACCTTTCCCACCACTGTTTAAAAGCACTTCATTAACTTCCTTGCGGTATCATCTTTCCTACWCACACTTTGATCTGGCTGAGATTCCTTCCTCACAGCCCTTGCACCTTCCCAAGACCATTTCCTAGAAATTCACACTTCATCTCCCCTCACCCACCCCTTGGTATCAGTTTCTCTCTCTTTTCACCATGGTGTTCTTGGCTCTGCTCTCATTCCCAGAAGACTGACTGAGGGCTACTTGCCAATGTGCAAAAGAGGTGCAAAGGGAGAAAAATGTTGCAAAAATACTGTTTTGATCACTGATATGAGTTGTATGGCAGTGTCTCCCAGACCTCCTGCAAACAGTGATTGGGACTCTGGCCAAATTTTCTGCGACTAAACCATTGCTAAAGGCCAACTTGTAAGCCTCTGGTGTCCATTATTCTACAGAAACATCAGAAAATTGGTAAGATGAGCCCTACTCTTGGCCCATCTCAACTATTTCTTGAGAAAACACATATGTGTGCCGAGGGGAGAAAGGGGGTAGCACTTTCTTCTGCAGACACATTTCCAGATATCCCTTTCCTAATGACATCAAGGCTGACCCCCTCTGGTTCTCTGCAGACAGACAGAGCTTGCTCCCTTCTGCAGTGCTCCCTAAAATAAATCCTACTATTTTTATTTTTTCATGAAGCTGCATTTGGATTGCACTGAAATGTTTCACTACCAGGGGAAGTTACAGCAGTGGGGAGCTCCTTGTAAACTCAAACTGCAAAACCTCAAATGTTAAATRTCTCACGTACAGAACCCACATCAGTGCCAGCCCAGTGTGCTGGTATTCCTTCTCCCAAATTCCACCCARTGGCTATCCCCACTTGATGTCTCAACATGGAAAGCACCTCCCAGCCTCTTCAGAAGTGCAGATCAGTTCCACATAGTGTTGTTTTAGYTCTGGTGAGAACTGGATCGTACACCAGGAAGTCTAAAAGCACACCAGCATGAAATTTTACTTTTTGACCACTGCCAAAACYTTCATGGGCTCCTTTTGGGGAATCTGAACACAAGTAAGAGGACAATGTCCAAAGCCCTAATTTATTTGGGAGCAAACATTTTAACAGAGCCTATATTGATAGGGGAAGAGGTAATGGTTTTAAACTAAAACAGGGGTGATTCAGACTAGATGTAAGGAAGCTTTTTATGATGAGGGCAAAACACTGGCATAGGRTGGCCAGAGATGGCTGGCAGATGCCCCATCCCTGGAAACATTAAAGTCCAGGTTGGAYGGGRCTCTGAGCAACCTGATGYAGTTGAARATGTTCCTGATTACTGTGGGAAGTCAAACTGGATGGCCTTTAAAGGGTCTTTTCCAACCCAAACTAATCTATGATTCTATGAATTGAGAGAATGAAAACCAATGCTGGGCTTTGATATGCAGCTGCTCAAACCCTTCTGACATGGGAATTCCCTTCCTGATCAGTCTCAAAAATKATTGCCAGAAGTGGGCAGATGCAGGGACTCCCACTGCAGCATCCATCACTTCAGCCAACAGCAAAAACAAAACATTACGCAGCTGAAATGCAGCACACAAAGCTCAGCTGGAGTATTTGCACAGCATCTATTGCCTCTTCCCTCCTCACAGCACTGCCACAAATTCTCCCTTACTGGCTCTGCAATTGCTTTGCAGATGGGATACAAACCATTAGTACCAGYTAAAAACTCCCTTATGGAGCAGCACGAAGCATTGTAGGCTAACATGCCACTTGGTTAACAGCTCTGAGAAGAGATAGAAGAAATAAAAGTTACTGGTCATCTTCCAGTCTAAGAAAGAGACTCTTGCATTGCTGGATAACCAGKGAAGAGCTTAGTCAGGTACAGACATGTTTTATCATTGTGTGGAGGAATCGATCGCTCTCTTTGAAACCGGAGAGAAACGCGCCCCAGGCATTTACAGTTCTGTGTACAGTGTGCATTTGAAACTGCACCAAGATGCCTTTGGACTGCTGCCCACGAGCTGCTTTGTTGATAAAGGCAGGAAGCCAAGGTATCCCCCCTTGTAAAAGGAAGAGGAATTATGCTCTTGCAACACTGGGGAGATTCACCTGGGAAAACACCATGGACGAGAAACCCCTGGCACCATCACCTGGGATAGTGAGGGGAAAGTCACTGAGAGAAAGCAGCCCACCCTGGGGCTGGTTCAACCATGTCCTCTTCATTTCTATGGCTGTTGAGGTGTGCAGAGATCCCAGTGATAAGTTTTGGTCATCTGGCAGCTCTAGGGGGCTTGTTATACCCGCTGATTGCAATGGGAGCTGCTGGGGGTGAAAAATCATCCCCCAGGTGCCTATAGTGACTGCAGGGCTCTGACCTTTCTATCTTGCTCATCCTTCCTGCAGGGCAAATATTCTGAGACAGCCCCTAGGAGACCCAGTGGTGCCTAACAGGGTCAGTGTTGGACCAAGCAGGGTGCCAGCCTTCTCCTCAGATCCCACATCTTTCCTGGAGTCTGCAGACGCCTTCTCCCTGCTATCCTCACCCACTGCAACACCGTGCGGCACGACTCGCACAGAAAACTCACACTGAGATCTTCCAGCCAAAAAAACCCCAACATTAAAAGCAGACTGCGGAGGAAGAGGGATCCCAGGTCTCAGATGATGGTCAGGGAGAGAGGAAAGCTGTGTTACCGTGTTRCTGCAAATTCACGCTTCTCACTGCAGTTGATTTCTTCCTTCTCCTCTCCCTTAAAGAGTTTTCCCTCTGGTTAGGGAGATCAGCTGACACATCCCTCCCTGGATGAAAGCCCATTGCTTGGGGATTGGTCCCCCTCGTCGGGAATGCGGATATTAAGAGGATGCTACCTAGGCTACCTCCGGTTGCCCTGGAAACCACCAAGCTGGAATTCCCCATAGCAAAAAAATCAATGACTAATTAAAGAAATAATGGAAGGGGAGGTGTTTTAAAGTTTGCTGTTTGGTGGAGTCAGGAAACAGCTGCCCCATTCTTCGTTCCCTCATTCCCTCAGCCTCCCTGAACGTGCCCCTGAACAAAGCATTGGCTGAAATGCAGCTGGGGTTGGGGCTAAAGACCCAAATTCMCCCAATGAAGTTTGAGGTACATGAATCAGAAGTGCAAAAAAGCCCCAAACCACCAGGTTGTCCCTAAGGTGGGGTGAAGAAAAAGAAATTGCTCCAAAAGGGGATGAAACCAACAAAGACCAGACACATCCCTGGAGATGTTCCTCTCTCCCTTGTCCGTGATGGAATAGGATGCCCAGTCTCCCTGGTCACTGTTTCCCAGCCCATTCTTGGYTGCATCTTCCAAACCCTGGTTCCACTCAATAACCACATGCACTTGGATAAACCAGTCCAGCTCACTTGCCCAACAAAAACCCCTCTAATCTTCCTYTTTCCCCTTTGTTGTGTCAGTATTTCAACAAATTCAAGTGACTAGCCTCAAGGTTATCAGCTCTCACACAGGAGTTGGGAAAGCAGAATCTGTCTTTTCCACAGCAGCCCACAACTAGACCAGATCAGACATGACATGAATCTRTAAGGCACGGGGGACAGATCCTGGTAATTTCCAGGTTTCTTGCCAATATTAATTCTGGATTAGCAGCAAATAGAACAACT